GGGCTGAAGTCCCTGAGCGCCGCAGGCTCTGAGTCCTCTCGGCTCTAGAGCGCCCCCAACAGGAAGGGCGAGGAAACCACTCTGAGGATCTCCCACCTAGAAAAAACGGGGAGGGGGGGAGAAGCAGGCTGTAGGTGAGCAAACACCCCCCCCCGTCTTGGTGATTGGCCCCTCCTCCCTTGTCCCGCCGGCCATCATTCAGGTGCTCCTTCCCGTGGATTTTTTTTTAAGACCTGACGTCCTCCGAAGGGTTTTCCTGGTCATTCCCTCTGGGAGCAGCCTTGCCAAGGCCTCCCGGCGGGCAGAGCCAGTGGGTCCCCCCCCACCCCCACCCCAGAGGAAAGGAGGAGATTCCTATGGAAGTGGGGCTGCCTACCTCGACAGAGGGGGTGAGCCACACCTCTCTCTTGGCAAAATCTCCTTTCCAGGCTGGCCTTCAACCTTTCCCATGGCTTCTCTCCCCTGGTAGGATGATAAACTGTCTTGGCTGAACTATAGATTCGAAGGGGGGGGGCTCCAACACGCCCCCCTTTTGCCTTTGTGTTTGCCCTTGGTGACCCACAAACAGCTCCCCCCCCCCCCCGCAGCCCGTCACAAAAACTGGTCCGACTTTCGTGGACATGAAACCTTCCCAGGGAGGGGGACCTCCGAGCCCCACAAAAAATGTGAGATGCAAGATGTTAATTTCAAGCCAAAGTCCCTGGGCTGAGATTCTTTGAAAAGAAGACAAACAAACAAAAAAGGCGAAGCAAAACAGCGAAGTCGGGGTGGGGGGGGTCCCCGTGGAGCAGGGCCAGAATCGGGACGAGCGAGGAGGGAAAAGGGAAGCAGGAGCAGCGCGAAGGATCGAGTGGCGGGTCTCCCTCTCCCGGGGGAGGGGGTTTGGGGGGGGTGCCAAGGTGAGCGTGCCCAGGATCGGGGGGGGGGGCCCCTCGCCCCCCCACGATCTCTCCAAACTGGGCAAGTGTGTGATAAAATGGAAAAGTGTAGTTCTACATAAATAACCCCCGCCCCCGCACAACCTCCCCGCAGAGCATTTCGTCTACCAGTGGGCGTCCGAGTGCCTCTACCACAACGGGACGGAGCGGGTGCGCTTCCTCGACCGCATCGCCTTCGGCCGGCAGGAGTTCGTCCGCTTCGACAGCGACCGCGGGGAGTTCGAGGCCGTCACGACCCTCGGGGAGCCCGACGCCCGATACTGGAACAGCCAGAAGGACTTCCTGGAGCGCAGGCGGAGCGAAGTGGATGCCTTCTGCAGGAGCAACTGGGCCTCCGACTGGCCCTTCGCCAGCTCCCGCCGGGGTGAGTCCGTGTAGGCGGGGGCGGAAGGGGAAGGGAGGGGAAGGTGGCTTCCCACCACCACCCAGACCTCAGCTCGCAAGGTGTCCCCTGGGTGGGTCGGGAGGGACTCCTCAGGGACCTCGGCCACCACCCAGTGATTTCCTTGGGTTGGATTAGGCTTGACTTTCTCATTTTATTGCCAAGTGTTTGTGCTCCTTTCCATTTTCTTATGCTGTAAACCACCCAGAATAGTGCTGCGTACTAACGGGCCTCTAGAGGGATTAAAACCACCACTTGGAATTGTGCCTGGAAACCAATTGGCAGCTGGTGGAGCAGCTGTAACAGAAGGGTAACGTGATCCCCATGACCAGCCCCAATCAGCAATTTGGCTGCTGCATTTTGGACCCGGTAATGTTTTCCTGACACTTTACAGAGATATTTGAGTTAGATGGTCCAAATCAATAGCAAGCCAGCATAATATTTTAAGATTTAGGAAAATTGCAACCTTTAATATAAATTTAACATTGAATATCATGGGGAGGGCATTTATTTGATTGGTATAATTTTCCCACCTCTGGCATTGGATTAGCCCTTTCTTCTGATTGATTGATTGATTGATTGTGCCCAATCCAGGGGTATTGCTCTTGGCTTCATCCCTAACCCCCCCCATCATCCTGCACTAAATTACTTTGAGCTGTTCTGCAAAAATGGTGTTTTTATGAATTAAAATTATTGGTTACACACACACACAAAGACACACAAAGGATCCTTCTGTCTTCAGACACAGGTTCATCTGCTACATTTTTTTAAAAAAATCTGCAAGCGGTGCGACCCCATCCACCCACCCACCAGAAGGCAAGAACAAACTCATAAAGGAAGTGTGTCAAGAGCGATGAATGAGCAAGATTAGAAAACTCCTCTACTCATGAAGAACATCCTGGTCCTTGAATGCAAGGGTGGCACCAGCTCTGCTAACACAGTCTCTCCCCCTGCCTCCCAAACACCCCCCCCCAATGCTGTGACTCCCTGGCAGGTGTGTGAGGGATACACAACCAGCCTCACAGCCTTCCAGTCCCTTGAGGTCAACTTTTTTTGTGCAGAGCTGAGCCTCAGGGTTTGTTTACATTTCCAAAGGCATGTTGCAAAAAAAGGTCAGCCCCGAGAGGGTTTAAGGGGGCTCAGTGGGAACCCCTTGATGTCTGGGGTGCCATCTTAACCCATGGGGTAGAGAACTTGAAACAGCAGTCAATGGAGTGAATCTTTCACCTGAGCAGGGAAGATATTTGGTTTGATAATGTGTGTGCGCTGTCAATATGTGGCATATTATGGCACAGTACCTAATTGTTTATCTATTTTAAAAAAAAATTTCCCCATGTTTCTCCTTTTTGAAAAAAAAAATCCCAATGCAGTTTAGCATTAAAGGTGTGGGGCCGTGGACAGAGTGATGGACTAGGACTCTGGAGAACGGGGAATCAAACACAGACCATAGTAAAAATGGTAAATAAAAGCAGCACCGAAACACATTCAATATCGTTAGGCACAACTCTCCCTTTAAGAACTCCATTCAGGCAGCCAGTCACCCACATAAATCTCACCTGAAGAGAAAAGTCTTGGCCTGCTTGTGGAACAGCAGCCAAGATGGAGCCAGGCTGGCCTCCAGTGGGAAGGAGTTCCACAGGTTAGGAGCAGCAGCAGAGAAGGCCCTCTCCTGTATCCCCACCAGCTGCATCTGTGAGGGTGGTGGGACAGAGAAGAAGGCCTCTCCTGATTATTTTAACACCTGAGCTGGCTGATAATGGGAGACTCGGTCTTTGAGATAGCTTGGACCCCGGCCATTTAGGGCTTTATAGGTTAAAACCAGCACTTGGAATTGTGCCTGGAAACCAATTGGCAGCTGGTGGAGCAGCTGTAACAGAAGGGTGACGTGATCCCCATGACCAGCCCCAGTCAGCAATTTGGCTGCTGCATTTTGGACCCGGTAATGTTTTCCTGACACTTTACAGAGATACTTGAGTTACATGGTCCAAATCAATAGCAAGCCAGCATAATATTTTAAGTTTTAGGAAAATTGCAACCTTGAATACAAATTTAACATTGAATATCATGGGGAAGGCATTTATTTGACTGGTATAATTTTCCCACCTCTGGCATTGGATTAGCCCTTTCTTCTGATTGATTGATTGATTGATTGATCCATCCATCCATCCATCCATTCATTCATTCATTCATTCATTCATTCATTCATTCATTCATTCATTCATTCATTCATTCATTCACTGTCTTTCTTCCAAAGGATCCGAGGTGACTTACAGTTCTAAAAGGAAAAAAAGGAAAAAGTAAAAAGTTAAATAATAAGTCTCGTGACACAGTTGTTAAACTGCAGTACTGCAGTGAAGACTCTGCTCACGACCTGGGGTCCAATCCCAGGTCGCCCTCTTGAAATTCACAGAGCCTTCCATCCTTTGAAGGTTGGTAAATTAAGTCCCCAGCTATCAGTAAGGCGGGGGGCAATGTGTAGCCTGCAGTATTAAATTGTAAACCCCCCCAGAGAGTGCTTTACACACTATGAGGTAGTAGATAAGCAACACAGTTTGGTTTTGCTTTTAATAAATTAGTACACTATTCATAAAGCGTTAAACAGATATATTAAAACTCATAAAAACAGTAATATTAAAAACACGAATAAGAGAAATATTTTCTGGGGGATTTCTTTTTCTTAAAAAAACAGCCCTCTGTTGTAGATTTTTGGGTGTTTTGGTTTGTTCCTGGATTAGGGTAGAAACTTTCCCACTGAGGATTTATTTTTCCAGTGGAAAAACTTGGATGAAATCACTATGGGAGAAAAAAATGTTTAGAGTGTTTTACGGATGTAGGACATGTTTTGCTTGCTCTCCAAGCTCAAGTGCGTCCAGGCTTGTTTTGGGGCGAAGAGGATGGTGGAGGGCTATGTGGGGTTGTCTGGTGGGGGACGGGAGACACAGAGAGAGGATGAAAGCAAAAGCAAAAGTGATCTACTTATACGCCACCCCATAGTGCTTAAAATGCTCTCTGGATGGTTTGCAATATAATGATGCCGGCTGCACATTGCTCCCCTCCCCGCCACCCCACATAAGCTGGGTTCTCATTTTACCAATCTCGTAAGGATGGAGGGCTGACTGAAACCTTGAGCTGGCTGCCAGAATCTGCAGGGATCAAACGCTGACCATGAGCCGAGTTTTGACTGCAATTATTACACTTTAACCACTGAGCCAGATGGTTTGCAATATAATGATGCCGGCTGCACATTGCTCCCCTCCCCGCCACCCCACATAAGCTGGGTTCTCATTTTACCAATCTCGTAAGGATGGAGGGCTGACTGAAACCTTGAGCTGGCTGCCAGAATCTGCAGGGATCAAACGCTGACCATGAGCCGAGTTTTGACTGCAATTATTACACTTTAACCACTGAGCCATGAGGCTCCTATGAGTGAAAAAGAAGGAGAAGAAAAATAGGTGTGTGTGTGTGTGGGGGGGGGCGGAAATGCAGAGGGGGGTGGAGGATAATGGTGTCCTGAAGCAGTGGTGCTCGATATGAGAGCATCAGAAAATCTGGGCATTAATCTTGGATTCCAGAAGTGGTCTCCAAATCTCCAAATTGCTCTCTAAAGTGAGATTAAAAAGAGGAACAAACCCAGATGCTGCTTTTGACCCTGTTGGATCAATTGTCTGGTTTGGGTTCCTCATCGTTCTCATACTCTTCAAACTGGTCCTTCCGCGGAGGTCCGATGAACTCAGGAGCCTTTGTCCAATTTAGCCTGATGGTTTTCCAGGACAGGAGGCTCAGCCTATCTTTGCCTGGTTGGAGATTGGAGTCCTTTCCATTGCCAAAAAGAATTAGAATGATATGTCCCATGAATGCTCTTAGGATTATAGTTTTTCTTCCTCTTAACCATGTTGAGTTTGGGATTCAGCACTTCCCCATTTGGATCCTGTGGCAGGTTCATATTGAAATGAAATAGGAGGCAAGAATTGGAGAGGTTTCCTCTGCTCCTCCAAACCCTGTCCTGCCTTTCCTGCAACGTCCTTAAAAGAATAGGATTTTTTTCCCTTCTGTTCCTCCAACCCCTGTCCTGCCTTTCCTGCAACGTCCTTATCTCCTATTTCAAAATATCTTAGGAACACGACTTGTGTGATTCAGTTCAGGTGGCCCTTGGGACCAAGGTAGAAAGAGGGGATACGGTGGAAGAGGAGGGATAAAGAGATGTGGTCCTGGTGGACGACTAGGCTGCAGGTGATGTTTGCAGGTCTCCCTCCTGTGGGGATTTTTTTTTACACCCTTTCCCAATTTATTCTGACTCCCTCCCACCTCCTTCCTCTTCCCCCAGTTCAGCCCAAGGTGAAAATCGCCCCCTCCAGCTCCGACTCCTCCTCTCACAACACTTTGCTGATCTGCAACGTGGCCAGATTCTGGCCAGCAGAAATTGAGATCAAGTGGTTCCGAAACGGGAAGGAGGAAGACGAGAGCCGAGTGTTCACCACGGACCTGATCCGGAACGGGGACTGGACCTTCCAGATGGCGGTGATGCTGGAGGCCCAGCCGGAGCGGGGAGACGTCTACGCCTGCCAGGTGGAGCACGCCAGCTTCCCCGAGCCCATCACTGTCCAGTGGGGTAAGAGATGATCTGAGGTCCATCTGTGGTCCACCTTCCTGTTGACATCTGGACCACTCCGTTAAGGCGATGAGGATGAGGATGGGGTGGAAAAGGGCAAAAAGGGGCTCATCCTGTCTCACCCCAGGGCTCTTCTCTCTCTTTAGAACCACAGTCAGACTCGGCCAGGAGCAAGATGTGGACAGGGGTCCTTGGACTCGTGACGGGGCTGGTCTTCTTCATCGCTGGGCTCTCCCTCTATGTCAAGAGCCAATAAAGGTGAGGTCCCAGGAGAGAACTGATCTTCAGAGATCTCTTATGGACTGATGGATCTTCATGGGCTCTTCTTCTGTACCATGTCTGACCCTACGGACCCTATGTTCGCCCTTGAGCCCCCCAAGGTCAATTGGCCCCCTCTTTTGCCCCTCCCCCTCCCCCAATACCCTGAGCCTTGGGTTTATCGGTCTCCTTTCTTTCTTCTGTGCTTACAGATGACCTGATGGGTTGATGACGTAGACAAGTCACTTTTCTTTCTTTGCTAAGAAGACACAGATTTTAGAGGCAGCGTGAAAGAACCAGAGAAGAGAAGAAGAAAAAAACTCCCAGACCCAGAAACATCCTGATAAGATTTCTGCTCAAAGGCTGACTAGTTTTGCCCATTTATTTCTTTTTGGTATCATTTGCTTGAGATTTTGCAGAACTTTTTAAGGCGGGGGGGAGGGAGGTCAAAGCTGCATCGTAGAAAGTGAGCATCATTTGCACACACAGCATTGTCTTGCATATAAACACCGGCAAGTGTGCCATGGTGTAAATCACCAGGGCCAGGTGTGACTCATCTCACACCACCAATTGTGTGACTCAGTGTGTGGCAAGACAACAGACAAATTAAAATAATTTGGGGGTTTGTGTAGGAGGAAGCTTTCCCCCACTGTTTCCCAACACGGATACCTGTGGTGGACTGAGTGAGTGGCTAAAGATGAAAAGGAAAAAGGTATTTGATGGTTTTGCTGTGCTTATTTTAGTTGCAATTCCTTGCTGTGTTGACTGAGCTTTTGCATGCATCATACCTGTGTGTTTTTATGTACAGTGGTGCCTCGTTAAACAGTTACCCCTCATGACAGTTTTTTCGCTAGACATCGACTTTTTACGAGTACTGTAGCAATTCGCAAAACAATGATTCCTGTAAGCAGCCCCTTATCTCCAAAGATTGGTCCCTGCTTTGCAAACTGATTTTCACTAGACAACGATTTGCTTTTCGTTAGACGATGATTTTGCTAAACAGCGATTTCAGTGGAACGCATTATCATTGTCTAGCGAGGCATCACTGTATACACACTCATATATATGGCTTTGACCTCAACATATTACTTTTGGGAAGCCTGAACTCTGTAAGGACCGAGTCTCCAATTTCATTAGCTGACACTAGGGCTTTGATCACCTTGCCTGTCTCAAGTGTAATCCTCTAATAAACGCAAGCTCTCTTATTTTCATAGAAGGAAGTGTGGATGTGAATCCTTTCAAAAGGCAGGAGCACACTCATATATATGGCTTTGACCTCAACATATTACTTTTGGGAAGCCTGAACTCTGTAAGGACCGAGTCTCCAATTTCATTAGCTGACACTAGGGCTTTGATCACCTTGCCTGTCTCAAGTGTAATCCTCTAATAAACGCAAGCTCTCTTATTTTCATAGAAGGAAGTGTGGATGTGAATCCTTTCAAAAGGCAGGAGGAGAGGGGGAGGGTGCATTCATCCTTGCTCCTCCACCACAGTTACTCTCAAGAGAAGAAGAGGGGGGAAAAGAGATAGAGAGAGCTTGAGAGAGGGGAGGAGAGAGAGAGAGGGAGAGAGAAGGTTGTAATTAGAGTTTCAGCTGCCCTATCCATAGGAAGAAAGTTGTGTTCAGGGTTTCATGAGTCGCAGTCCACAAATGTCGATGCCCAAAAAAAGAATCTGTGAGTCTACAAACTGTCTTCTGGTCATGATCACATTGGATAGAAAAGGGAAACCCACCCACCAACCAACCAACCATCCAACCAACCAAGGAACCAACCAAGCAACTAACCAACCCAACAAGCAAGCAAGCAAGCAAGCAAGCATGGGTTTCATAAGTCGCAGTCCACAAATGTCGATGCCCCAAAAAAGACTCTGTGAGTCTACAAACTGTCTTCTGGATAGAAAAGGGAAACCCACCAAGCAAGCAAGCAAGCAAGCAAGCTACCTACCTACCTACCTACCTACCTACCTACCCACCTACCTTGTTGATACCCCATCTTTCTCCTAAAAAGGACCCAATGCAACTTACATTATTATAAACAAACAAACAATATTAAAAGTCAAGAGCCATAAAGTCTTACAATGTTAACAATGAATAAAATATAATATTAATACTAGTAGATAAAAAAGTACCAAAAACACCTTAAAAACAGACAGGGAGTTGCTTTTCTGAAGCACGAAGGACCAGGTTCCCTGTCCTTTTTTCTGAACTACCCACAGCATAGTTCCACTTACAGGGTTTGGGGGAATGACCCCCCTCTTACCGTAACAAACAAACACTTGTTTAGCCATATGTGGCATGACCCCCCCATACATTAATCTCATTGCCCCCAAATATCAGATGGAATCTGAAGACCCTTTTATGCAGCCTCTTCCCAGGCAGATCCAGGCCTGTCTTAAAAAATATGCCGGCGTTTCCTAATGCTGTCTTGTCAGCGATGTGATGGAATTCATTGTCACCTTTTTTCCTCTGGACCGTCTTCTTCACCCACAGCCCTCAGGCCCTCTTGTCATTCTGCCTCTGAGACACTCTTCCTGCCCACAGTTTTAAATTCCTCCCAGGGACAAGTGGGTCTGAGATCAAATTCAGCCAGAACTTTTTCTTTGGAGAGAAAAATATTGGAACGGAGGCTGTCCTACTTTGGGCCCATCGCGAGAAGGCAGCATTCTCTCAAAATGATGACAATGATGGGAAAAGTGGAAGGCAGCAGGAAAAGAGGAGAACTGCCAAATAGGAGATGGGTAGACTCCCTAAAGGATGCCACAGGGTTTTGTCTGCAAGAGCTGAGGACTGTGGAGGACAGGACGGTTTGGAGACCCCTCATTCATCAGGTGGCCATATGTTGGCCGTACATCATGAGAGACACTTCCTTTCCATTCACCCCAAGTGGCAACTCATGACAACGACAACGCCACAGGCTCTGATTGGCTCAGCTCAGATTCCTAAACCAGGAAGCAAGACCAGGGGATCAGCCACTGACCCTCTTTGCCCAAAAGGAGGGTGTGGCGTCCACCCTCGTGCCCCTTGCTTGACCTTCAAAGCCTCAGAGCACCGGAAGGCAAACACTCTCTTCTTTTCACTCCTGCCACCAGGCGATCTCTAAATCACCATTACTTCAGAAAGATCCAGGTCCACACTTCAGGTTCCTTTAAATAAAACTTTGGTTTATTGATTACAGAGATTGATTCATAAATATCTTCAGTAGCTAATCAGCCCTTAGAATTTCCCAAACCCCACACTCTATTACTCTCCCTGATTCTTATTGACTTAATCTCTTACATTTCTCTTACTGACTCAATCTCACTTAATCTCCTCCTCTGACTCTCTGGCTCTGCCTCTTATAGCATCTCTCTTGACTCCGCCTCTCAGCAACATGAATATTCATAAACCATTACATAATACAACAAGAGCCATTACCATTTCTGCCTCTTGGGGCCAATCAGAATCTCCCCCCCTCCCCATTCCGAGCAGGAGCTGATCAAGCCGGGCGGGGGAGACCCGAAGGCTGCTGCTGGCTTGCATTAAATGTCAAGCACAGGATTGGGTCCACCTTCTGCCCCTGTGGTCAGCTTGCAGCGGCTGGCTTTGAAAAAAAGTGGGGTCCCATGCCCTCGGATATATGACCCCCCCCCCGCCACCCAGGTCCCAGAGATGAGCCTGGTTGAGGGAGGTAGTCACTGGAGAAGGAATTGCACTTTGCACGTGGTCAGAGTCACACGTTTTTCCACCAGTCTTCAATCCACCTGAGCCCTAACACAGGAGGAGAGGTTCCAGGGCCCCTTCCTGGTACACTCTGGGTCGGGTTAAGCTCTCTTGGCACCTTCCGTGGTGGGTTATACAGGAACCGGGCTGCCCTGAGTTGCCCCAAAGGCGGGCAAGGGGCAAAAGGAAGGGTAGGGATGGGGACATGAAGACACAGAAGTGCCAGGAGAGCAGTGGTCCTCCTCGCATGGGGAGAGATGGAGAATTAGCAGAAGGAGGTGGGAACAAACCCCAAAGCGGGGGGTGGTGGTGGTGGTGGTGGTGATGGGAGTCCCTTTAGAGAGACAGGGAGTTTAAACGATGGGGAAACGGGCACTCCCAGAACGAAAAGCAGGTCCAGGAGTAGAATTCTTGAGGTGTAGGACTGGAGGGGCCACCCAAGGATCATCTAGATGCGACCTCTTCCAAAGCAGGGAAATTAAAAGAGTATGAGTGAGGGGGTGGGGAGTCTGACACTAACTCCCCCCCCCAACCACGTCATGTGAGGAGCCACTTCTTGTTTGCTGTTCTGGGCAAAATTCAGCTCTGGGGTGCTCCCTCCCATCTTGCACCAAATTGGGGGAGAAACCCCCGGGGGAATTTTTTTCCCCCTGAAGTTGCAGCCTTGCTAAATTGTGCATGGCTCCCAGCAACAGACACGGGAGAAAAGATGAGTTTAAAAAGAGACACCTGAAAGAGCAGCCGCTACATTTTCGGGTAAGCTTTCCTGGAACTCTTAAGTCTGCAAGAAGTGGGGCTCCTTCCACGAAAGCTTACCTGAAAATATAGCAGTTGGTCTTTTAGGCGCCACCACCTCTTTTTCTTTTTGTGCTTCTTGCTAATATGCGCGCATTCTCAGTTCTCGTTGACCTAAACAGACGAGGGTTGGCTGTAATAATGCACTCTGTGCATGCTCAGTGGAAAGATTGCTTCATTTCCAAACTGGGAGGCGTCACAGAGAGAGGACGGTCGAGAGCAGTGTTTCTGTTCTGGGGCCACCAATGGCCGGGAGGGAGATTCCCCCCCACACACCTCAGAAGGAGAGAATTTCGTCTCCCATTTTATCCCATTTTATCTTATTACTTCCGAGACCCCCCTGCGGCGCACAGTATTTCTTTAGGAGCAAAGGCTTCAAATCTTTGAACCCCGAGCCTCCCAACTCAGTTCCCGTTCAAGGCTGGTATTACTGCAGATGATGGATGAGGTGATGATGGAGAAGCCCCAACATGTCACTGCCAGTTGGTCCGCCCTTAGTGGGGGGTGGGGGTGCGGAGGATCATCCTCGCCCCCCCCCCTTGTCTGGGGTTCCTCCCTAGATGTAGGATGCCAGTCCCGAGGTCTCTCTGAGGGGAGCCAAGGGGCAAAAAGAAGGA